TTTTTAGTTCAATTTCCACTCTATATGGAAACTTTTTCATAACAGTTATAAATTTACCCCTTCAGGCTGTTCTTCTCTTACATTGTTGCCCCACTTTTATCTGTATTCCCACATCAAGTTTCAATTACATTTGGAAACTGTTCGACTAACTATTTCAGTTCCAGTTCCAGTTCCAACTCCAATTCCTATAGTATTCTTCCATATTCAATATGCCAGTTGGACTTCTCTCTTTCTCCCTTACATGATTTGCTCCATGAGTTCCGCTTCCAGTGCTAAATCCAATTGGAAGCAAACACTCATAAATGCTCGCTTTGTGTGACATGTGGCAAAAAAATGACAACTCAAAGTAGTAAAAATTTAAAAAACAAATAAAAATTGGCTAATTTAAAGATAATTGTTTTTTTGTTTAACAATTTTTTATTTTTGTAAAAAGTGAAAAGGAAAGGCCAAGTCATGTCCACATCCATATCCAAATGAATCACGACCCAGTTTTGCGTATCCGTTCCTACAATAGAAGCAAATGCAATTGAATGATGTACATATGTGTGTATTTATCTTTTGGCACCGATTCCATTTTAAAGACTCCGATTTTAAATGTTTGTTATTGTTATTGTTATTATTGTGGTTGTTGCTGTTGTTGTTTAGCTTTGTTTTATGTTGGGCAATTAGTATAGCCAGGGTCAAGTTAATGATTCAATTAGCATTTGTCATCGCAAGCCGCAAGCCTCAAGCCTCAAGCCGCGCTTGGCAATCGTTCGCAATAGTTCGTAATTGTCGTAGATCGTGGGAATATTGATAATACTCGTTAGCTCCATGTCACGCCGACTGTCACAAATGTCGACCTGTTGAGCTGGCGACTTGTGGAGCCGATCTACTGATCTAGTGAGCTACTGACCCGACGATCCGGCGATCTGGTAATCTGATATTTCGCCTGACAAAATTCGATCTGTCGAACTGCTTATCTCCTGATCCATAAATTGATCGATCATCAACAATATTTGAAATAAATCGAATCGAACTCGAAGTCGGAAGTAACTAGAGCTGTTGAGAGGAAAAGATAGGGAGAGAGAAATATGAGTGGGATGGATGAGGTAATAAAGCGGGAAATAAGGAACATTTAGTAACTTAAAGTCGAGCCCAAAAATGTATAAATCGTTAAATTTTAGAAGTTGTAAAAGTCTTTAGAAGATTATGCACTATTTGGTATAACTGTAATTAATTAAAAGATTTATGAAACAAGCCTATAAACACATGGAGTATCGAAACACCTATTAATCGAAAGTAACTAAGCTGTAAATATTTGAGAGAGGTTGGACGGACAAAGCGGGTTAACACAGGTTGCGATATACGTGGTATAGTAAATAGAACAAATGGAATAGTATATGGAATAATACTATTGTATGTAATATATCTATCTTACTATAGATATTCTCTCTCTCTCTCACACACACACATGGCTCCTTCTGCTTCCTCAATCTGTATCCCTGCGTTCTTGGCTTTTATCTGTTCTATTCTTTATCTCTCTCTCTCTCTCTTTCTCTCTCTCTCTCTCTCTGTATATATCACTCGCTCTTTCTTGTTGCTCAACTCTCTCACCCGCTTTCTTTCTCCGTATCTATTACTTAACTGAATTTGTCTACTTAATCTCTCTCTCTCCCTCTCCCTCTCTCTGTTGCTTAACTTGCTTTGTCTACTATCTCTCCCTCTCTCTCTCTCTCTCTATCTCCATCATCTCCAATTGAATGTGAGCTTGTGTAAAGCCTTTCAACTTAACCCAACATAATTTCTTGACCGCATCGATCCAAGGCGGTGGCAGCCACTGAATCCGCCCACTCACACGAGCCGCAGCTGCAGCTTCAACTCTCAAGCTGTCTCGCACTCTTCCTACGTCTGTGTGTGTGTGTGTGTGCTGGGCAGGTGTATAAAAGCGACGGCCACTGGGGTTGGCTTGGCATTAGACGAGTGTCAGGTGACGCGTGCGCAGTAGAAACGTTCAGCGAGTAGTCGAGAGCAGCCAAACCAAGTGACATCCACAGAACCAAAGGCGGCCACCACATGAAGTGCTTTGTAAGCGACGAGCGAAGCTCGCCTCTGACTTGGATTACGGCGGGCGGAGCACTAAGAATCATTTTGCTTGCAGATTGTATTCGTTGCAGCTTTGCTGCTGGCATCCGCTCAGGCGCAGAGCCAGTCGGCGCAGGTGCAGGCGCAGGATCAGGAACAGGTGGCGGCAACGCCGACGGCGGATCAGGTGAGCGCCGCCAGCAGCTATGCGCCGCTGCAGGAGAAGAAGCAGGACAAGCGCTATGTCGGTGGATACGGTGGTTACGGTGGTTATGGTAGTTATGCTGGTTACGGCGGATACGGCGGCTACGGCGCTAACGCTGGCTATGGCAGCAGCGCCTACGGCGGCTACGGCAACGGCTATGGAGCATATGGCTCCACGCTGGGTGCTGGCTACGGCTACGGCAGCGGCGTGGACAGCTATTACAATCCATATGGAACGCGCGGCTTAGCTGGTTTAGGTGAGCGAGCTAGCAAAGGAGCGTACCAGCTACGTCTATGAAAAACTAATCTCTGCTTACTGCTATTCGACGCTAGATGGCGCTGCTGGATATGGCTCCGCTCTGGGCGGCTATGGCTCCACTCTGGGCGGCTATGGCTCCGCCCTGGGCGGCTATGGCTCCGCTCTGGGCGCCTATGGATCTACACTGAGCGGCTATGGCTCTGGGCTGGGCGTCGGCGGCTACAATTCGAATCCCTATGCGCTGTCCTACTACAATTCACGGCTCGGCGCTGGCGTCGGCACTGGCTATCCCTATTACAACACACGCTTCGGCGCCGGCGGCTACCCGTCGAGCTACTACAGCAGCAACTACGGCAACAGCGTCGTGGGCGGCGGTCTGGGAGCGCTGGGCGGCGTGCCACCTATTGGCGGCGCTGGCTACAACTATGGTGCCGGCATTTCGGGCACCGTCTACTAGGATGCGAACGCCAACRATTTCAGCTTTAGTGCAATTCATTTTTTTTTTTCTCCCTCAAGCTATATATATAGATATATATTATATATGTGTGTATACAATATTATATTTTTTTTATCTAACTTAATATTTTACATATGTTAAATGAAATAAGCAAGCCACAAATTTACATATTTATTATTTAGTTCAGCTTCAGTTGTAGGCGCCGTGTTTGTCCTTGATCACCCAGAAGGAGTCGACAATCTGGCCGTCCTTGTCGTCGGAGACCTGCTCGAAATGCAAATGGGTTGCATTGTGGGCCTTAAGCCGTGTGTAGCCATAGTCCTGCAAGTGAAAACCAGGAAAACTCAATCAAAAACGACAATTTATCAATAAAAATGTCTGGCAACATTTGCAGTTGCTTTAGCAACATTTGCAGTTGCTTTAGCAACATTTGCAGTTGCTTTAGCAACATTTGCAGTTGCTTTAGCAACATTTCTGTCAAGCACAGAAATGCTGCCATCAAATGTTGCTGTGATGAGCTTTGCTCTGACATAAATTCCACATTAATAAGTGAATAGAAGAGACTTGTATATGCTAAAATTAGTTCCATTAGTTGTATTATTAAAAAGCTTCTAGCGTAAGGCAAGAAATTCTATAGCAACGCAGCTGCTTTGGAGCATGTTCCGTTAAGTTTGGTTTGAACAGCGCTTCGATAGCTGTGCGATTGTGTTGACGAAGTCGTGCCACAGTTATCGATAGATTGCCTAGCGATAGTCTTGTTGCTTGCAAAAATGCAAGCCGTTACTCACATTGCTATGGAAGGCATTCCAAGAGGGCAGATCTTTGGAGAAGGGTTCGCGATTTTCATTGCAGCCCGCCGAGCCAGTTATGATCTGTATGGGTGCCCTGGGATTTGTGTAGGGCGCCTCGGCGCTGCCATTGTAGACCTTAAAATCGTAAATGGGCCACAAGCGTGTATAGAAATGCTCGTGGGCAAAGAACTCAACATCGACGCCGTGTTTATAGAACAGATCCTCCAGTCCGAACCATTCGAGCGTCGGCAAACCCTTGCGTATGTACGTCTCCAGCTTGGCATTGCAGTCGTATTCCTTGTCGTCACTGCAGTACATCGGACGGTGGCCATAGGTGATGATCCAGGGTCGCTTAGCGCGATTCTCGGGAAGATTGGCCTCGGCCAAGTCTCGCTCCAGCCACTCGTACTGCTTGGTGAGCAGCTTCAAGCCATAGTTGATAAAGTAGTAGACCTCCGTGGAGAACGAGACAAAGTGCACGGGACCCATGTTGAAGCTGTACCACAAGCTGTCCCCATCTCCGGGCATGTTGAAGCGTGCGCGATAGTTCGAAAAGTTGCTGCAGCGCATCAAACGAATTGATTAATTAGAGGAAGCTATGAAATAGCTGTTCTTACTATGCTTACTACTTCTCTTCGTGGTTGCCCGGACAGACCATGTACGGCACATAGGCGGCCAGTGTTTCGATCTGGCGCATAAATTCGTCGCCCACGCGCGCATCATTCGAGTCCATGTCGTAGGCAAAGTCACCCACATGAATGATTGCATCGTACATGCCCAGCTGCGAGTCCTGCTGCAGTCGAGCCAGTGACTGGGCATTCTCATTGCCCATATCCCCGTAGATGGCCAGCGAAGGCGACCAATCCTCTCCTGCTGGCGGCGTCTTAAAGCTGTAGACCGCCGACCAGCCCAAATCGCTGCCGCAGCTGTACTCGTAGTGTGTGTTGGGCTTGAGAGACGACAACGTCACCTTGTGTATGTACTGGGAGCGCCCCTGCTTGCCTCCATCCTGGAAGAATTGCCAGCTGCCGCTGACCGAGCTAAGCGCATCGTGCACATAGTCCTGCGCAAAGTTAACCAGGGACTGATTGGTGGAGCTGCGCGTCGACCAGGTCACGACAATGTCCTGCAGGCTGTCTGCAAAGGAGAGCAAGCATCGGTGCATGAAGTATATATGGTAAATATAGCCAGATATCTGATAGAACTATAGTAAAATAACTTTTGCTAATGTGCATATCATTTATTCGAATAATGGTATAAAATATATATATTTGGTTTTATATGGATAGGAATATGGAATATGAATTATAGTCCTTAGGAATATCACATATTCAGGGGGTATATGGTCCATGCTGTTCCTTGATCACCCAGAAGCTGTCAATGATGACGCCGCCTTTGTCATCGGACACCTGCTCAAAGTACAGATGGCTGGCATTGTGCGCCTTGAGGCGCAGATAGCCAAAGTCCTGGCTGTGAAAGGCGCTCCATGGTGGCATTTCCTTGAAGAATGGCTCACGACCTTCATGATTGCCGGCAGCGCCGGAGATGATGTGCACCGGTGCGCCCGGATTCACATACGGCTCCGTCAGCGAGCCATTGTACACGGTATAGTTGTACATGGGCCACATGCGCTCATAGCAGTGCTCGTGCGCCCACAGCTCCACGTCTACGCCGTACTTGTAGAAGAGCGGCTCGAGACCAAAGAAGTTCAAGCCGGGCAGACCCTTGCGCACGACTGTCTCATGATTGGCGCAGTCGTCGCCGTTGTCATTGCTGCAGTACATCGGACGATGGCCATAGGTTATGATCCACGGACGTTGGGCGCGGTTCTCCGGCTTGGTGGCCTCGATCAGGTCACGTTCGAGCCAATCATATTGCATGACAATTGGCTTAATGCCGTACTGTGTGAAGTAGTAGACCTCGGTGCTAAAGCCAATAAAGTGCACTGGTCCCAAGTTGAAACTGTAGAACAGATTGTCCGTGCCGCCGGGCATGCTGAATCGATTGACATAGTGCGAGAAATTGCTGTGCGGCGAAAGAGAATCAGAGAACCACTCATTAGATTGCAGCTAAGCGAGCACACTTACTACTTCTCCTCGTGATTGCCCACACAGACCATGTACGGCACATAGGCGGCAATCGTCTCCACCTGGCGCATGAACTCATCCCCAACCTCCCCGTTCTCATTGCACATGTCGTAGGCAAAGTCACCAACGTGCAGTATGGCATCGTACATGCCCAGCTGCGTCTCGCGCTGCAGTGCCGGCAGCGAGGCGGCGTTCACCACGCCCATGTCGCCGTAGATGGCCAGCGAGGGCGACCAGTTGCTGTGATTGAGTGCCGTGTGGAACCAATAGATGGCCGACCAGCCCAATTGGCTGCCGCAGTGATAGCGATACGTTGTGTTCGCTTGGAGCTTGGGCAGTGTCACCTGTCAATGGACATGCTGTATTGGCAGCTCATTCAATTCTTGCCTACTTACGCGATGTATGTACTGTGTGGCCTTCTGGGCGCCGCCATCAACAAACGCTGTGGGTCCTTGAGCAGCCTTGGCACTTTGCTCAGTGATGCTATCGATGCCGTATTCGCATAGAGATTCATTTGTATTGTCACGCGTGTTCCAGGTAACGACAATGTCCAGCACACTTTCTGGGAGAAGCACAGGGCACACATGTTGCCAATTATTCACAGTCGATAGTCGTATGCACATATGCATGTATATTTACATGTACAATATTTACAAATTCAGCTAGAGCTGCGCGCCCAACGTTTTATCGGCTATCGATGAACGTGGCACGCGCGCCTGGCTGGGTGCTTAATATTGGGTTATCGATCACAGATTTCCGCAATATATATCGTAATTTCTAAATGAACTTCTAGCTTATTAGCAATTAGTTTTAACGGACATATTTATTATGTATAATATATATATACATTAAATCGAACTTAATATGATAAGTTATTAATCGCGAAGAATGGGTAGCCATCTTTTTGGCATTTGTTAATTGAGAGAATCTGGTCAAATATATAATTATATATCAATGAGATTTATTTGTCTCAACCTTAATCCTACCCATTGATATGGGAAAATAAAAAAACAGCTCAAAATTACAAGCGATACAAAAATGCGGATATTAATAGACATATTTGATATACATACATACATATATCAACATATACATAAGTTTGTACATTTTAAAAGTGTAAAAATAAAATTGGCTAATTTTAAGGAGTGTTTACAGTTATCAAATACAGTCCGTTCATATTATACTGGGCTACAATTGCAGTTGCAGTTGTGTAAGGGAGCAAAATAAGCTATAAATTGATCTATTTCTATATACATATATCGAAGAATATATATATGTATACATATTTTGAAGAATGTGCATTCGTAATACTGCCAGTTGCTACAGTTGTGATTGTGTGTGTGTGTTGTTTAAGTTGTATTTAGTTAGCCTTTTGAACCGTTTACAGTTCGCTGTATGCCCCGTGCTGGGCTTTAATTAGCCAGAAGTTGTCGATGATGGCGCCCCCTTGATCATCGGAGACCTGCTCAAAGTAGAGATGGGTGGCATTGTGCGCCTTGAGACGCGTATAGCCATAATCCTGACTGTGGAAGGCACTCCACTCGGGTATCTTGCCCTTGAAAGGTTCGCGTCCTTCCTTGCAGCCTGCCGATCCGGTAATAATGTGCACCGGTGCACGTGGATTCTCATAGGGCGAGCCGAGCGATCCATTGCGTACTTTGTAGTCGTAAATGGGCCAGAGACGTTCGAATGAGTGCTCGTGCGCCCATATGGCCACATCCACGCCGTACTCGTACAGCAGCGGCTCCAATCCGAACATATGCACAAATGGCCAGCCGACCCGGGTTAGGGTCTCCGAGTGGGTGCAATCGTTGTCATTCTCATTGCTGCAGTACATCGGTCGATGGCCATAGATGATAATCCAAGGTCGCTTGGCGCGATTCTCTGGCTGGTTGGCCGTCTCCAGATCACGTTTGAGCCACTCGTATTGAAAGACCAGCGTCTTCAAGCCGTAGTTAAGGAAGTAGTAAACCTCCGTGGATATGCCAATGAAGTGCACCGGTCCCAAGTCGAAGCTATAGAAGAGATTCTCTGTGCCGCCCGGCATGCTGAATCGTGCCCGGTAATTGGAGAAATTGCTGCAAGGCGAATCCAATAAACAATCTCCTTATCTGAACTCATCTGATCTGTTCTGCTGCTGCTCAACTTACAACTTCTCCTCATGATTTCCCGGAACGACCATGTAGGGCAGGTAGGCGGCCACCGTTTCGATCTGGCGCATAAACTCATCCCCCACTCGAGCATCTTTTGTGTTCATGTCGTAGGCGAAGTCACCCACATGAATGATCGCATCGTACATGCCCAACTGCGTCTCTCGCTGCAGCCGGGCCAGCGACTGGGCGTTCTCATTGCCCATATCCCCGTAGATAGCCAGTGATGGGGACCAATTGGAATCAGCACTGGGAATGGTACGGAATTGATATTTGGCAGACCAGCCGTACTCGCTGCCGCAGTGATATACATAGCTGCTGTTGGGTTTAAGTTCGCTGAGCGTAACCTAAATTAAATTAACAATCTTGAGTCACATCTCTGTGTGTGTGAGGATGTGCGTGTGTGCGTACCCTGTGTATGTACTGAGACATCTGCTTGGGCCCGCCATCCACAAATCGAATGGCCTTGCCATAAGCGCGCTGCTTAAGATCTGTCAATCCATATTCGACAATGCTGTCTGCAGATGGCGGCAGTTCGCGCGTTGACCAAGTGACAACAATTTCGCTGGCGGTGCTCTCTAATTACAGCAGGAGCAACAGGAGCAGCAGGAGCAGGCGCAGCAGCAGTTAACAGGCGGGGATATGAGCAAACAAAAACGGAAAGAGAAGACAAGACAAAAATGAAAAACAAGCTTGAGTTGTGGGCCGAAATATATTTATTTAAATTTGTGTTTGCATAAAAAACAGTTGGTGCAAATAATTTATATTTAAATTTGCTTTACGACATGTTTTTCGATTTGTTGTTTTGTCTCTCGCATCGCTTATCGCGAGCCCAAATAACAAAATTTTTAAATTGAACTCTCGTTAGAGCGTGACCTAATTAGCGTATCATTATGATCCCTATGATTCCAGCACTGAGCGGTAAACATAAAATACTTAAGAGATAAGTTCGGAGAAGGAAGCAAAAGACGAGAAAATAAACAAAAGTTGACCGAACTAAATTATTAATTCCTTATCTATGGCTAGAATTCGTCTCGGAACAAGTTTCTGCTTCGCTTTTTATATCGTTATCCGCGTGACCGGTCACATACAAAATATTCTAACTGAACTCTAGTTAGAGTGTGACCTTATTAGAGTATGATTGTGATACCGAAGGTTCGAGCACTTAATAGTAAATAAATACTTATAAGAAATTTAAAATTAAACAGAAGACAGATTGAATACATTATTCTTTTTGATGTTTTGAATTAGTTTTACAGCATATTTATTGTCATTTGATTTCTTTGTTTTGCTCCCCATTACGCTTATCACGGAATCGCATATGAGAACCAATTAAACTAAAGTCATTGTGCGACCTTTTTTAGTATGTGACGACGATACCTAACATACGAGAGCTAAGTAATGTATAATATGTATATATTAATATGCATTTTACGCATTTATCAGCAAATCAGCCTTAGCCTCATTCTGTGGCTTGCGTTAACGGATGACGCGCGCAAATTTCTATTGCACTCTTTGTTTCATTGTTGTTGCTCGTGTTAGGGGCGGTTGTATGGCTCAACGGGAACAACTGCAACTGTAACTGCAACCGCATATTGCATGAGTGTGCGTATGTACATACATACATATCTCCGGGTTGGGTTGGGGGGAGTTACTGTCATGCTATCAAGTCTAAACTATTGCGCAGCAATTTCGACAATGGCAAAAAAACATATGTATTAAAACAATTTAAACGCTGATATCAACGAAAAATGCCGGTAAGTTTTAGCAAGCATCGCACTTTTTTTTGGTTTTGGGCGAGGGGTTAAAAAACTTGCGCTGAACTTTAAACTTGATTGTTTCATTTGCCATAAGCGACAGCAATAAACTGTTATATACAGCTATACGCATATTTCGCCTTTGCTTAACACTATTCTATCATGTATACATGTAATACTTGTAGAATACATTTATTAGGTACGTACCTCCAAATGCTAGATGCACCTGCTCTGGCTGATAGTGTACTATGTTCTGATCTTTCTCCAAATTCTGCTTCCCGTTTATGTCTTCCAGCACCAATTGCCGCTGCACAGTGCTGGCAACGCAAAGTGTTAAAGTTAGAAACAACAAGGTCAAATTAGCCATTGTTGCTGCTCTTTTGCTTTGCTCTTGGATGTTTTTGTATATATGTAAGTGTATTTATTGAGCCACAGTTAATGACATTGCCAAATTTATATGCGCAATATATTTATAAGCTGCAAATATTTTACGTGTACTTCACAAAATTTATTTTGCTGGCGACAGCAAAAAGCAATGCACCAAGACTATTGAAACGTCCAGCAATTTGTGGAATAACAAAAGTTCGATTGGCAGCGCAGCTGTTAATAGCTATCGATACATACGGAGGGTGCGATAAATATCTCACTCGATAGTTGTCAGAGTGACCAGCAATGCAGGGCGCACGTATTTTTGAAAAATTTGTATTGAAAGCGGATGGAAAAACAAAGTATGCGTTTGCTTTGCCGGCTTTGTAATGCTGAACGGATTTTAGTCTATTTTATTATTTCAAAACAACTTTTTGGCAGAATAAGTTCGGAAATAAATTAAATAAAAAATAAATATAAAGCACCATGGGTATGGCTGGTCTGTCGGAAGATTTCATAACGTTAACACAATTAAATTGTGTCCAACAGTGCAGTGCATTAATTTACAGCCCAAAGCCGCGTAACTATTTAACGGCCGCAGCACTTTTCAGCGTATATTGCGGCGTAGTTATCTATCGTTCGTATCGGAATCATCAGGCCAAAATGCAGGCTCGCCGTGAGGCTGCGCTGATTGCGGCACGCGAGGAATTGCCAGTCTTCGAGGAGTATACCGTGGAAGCACCAACTTTGGAGCAGCAGCATTATCCAGCCGAGCCAACCGTTCCCGAGCCAGCACACGTTGACGATCCGGCGAGCGACGAGACATCTTTACCAGCGGCACCCTAGGCCAACTCGAAGTTCCACTACCCCAAATATGTTTCAGGACATCATAATTAATTGAGAAACGATCGAGCTTCAGTTATAAAAGAATACATATTTCCGATATCTCTAAATGAAATCAGTCAGTAAATAAAAAATCATAGAGCATGCATACATATATATTATTTATTTATTTCCTTTTTTGTTCATGCTCGCTAATTAACAATTCTTAAGCAACAATTTTATACGTTAATTCTACAAGGGTTTTACGGCGATTTGGCGAGGACTTACGAACTAAACAACTAACATTTCGTATAATTAAATAATATACATATATATATATAGGTATGTGGTAATATATGTTTATATGCATATAGGGAATGTAAATAGTTTTTACTGGATTACAGGCATAAAGTGTTGGCAACAATGATTAATTTAACTACAAACTAGAAAACACATTTGAGAGACGATTATCTACTTTTCGCTAGCATTTCCGCTTCCGGCTCCGCTGCCTGGCCCGCTTCCGCTTCCGGCGCCTGGCTTGCGCGTGGCGAATCCTTCCGGCATGCTGCTCTTGCGCTGCGCCTGCGATATTTGCACAATGCGCGACAATGGGGAATGCGTGCTGCTTGTGCTGGGACGCATTAGCGACGAGGGCAACAGACGCGACGTTGAGGTGCCCGGCTCATCCTGGCCAGCAGTGCTGCCAGCCCCTGTGGGCGATGTGGGCGACAGTTCACGTGCCAGAGGCGATGGTCGCAGCGAGAGCCGCCGCTGCAGCGTTGACTGGGAACCGGTCAATGGGCTGGGCTCTTCGCTGAGGCTGGCACCTGGTGGTGGCGCCTGTCCAGGTGGGATCTGCAGAGCTGTCGGACGCACACTGAAGCGCCGTCGGAACTTGGACTGACCAGCTGGCGTGGAAGTCGATGGTGGCAACGGTTTCTCGGTGTAGCTGGGTGGCGGCTCCAAATTGTGTATGCCGGATGGACGACGGGTGGCCAAGCCGCTGCTGCCACCGGGAGACATGGTACCCACAATGGTGGAGCGACGGGCGTACAAACGATTGGCCGCTGTTGCCTGCAGCGTGCGCGTTTGGTCACCCGCAAATAAGGACAGGATGGGCGGCAGCTGGGGCGGATCAAGGCCGGCATTTCCCAGCTTTCGTTGCTTCTTGGTCAGCTTAGAGCTGGAGCTGGAGCCGGCAGCCGCCATCGCCTGCTGTTGCTCTTTCTGATGCTCATCGAGAACGGCATGCGTGTGCACTACCTCGAGCGCGCGTATCAGATCCGCTATGGTGGTCTGCTCCAGCACATCCATGTCCTTGTCCGAGGTCACCGAGAAGATGCTGGAGCGCCGCGGCGTTGCGTGGCTCGTCATTCCGCCCGTGGCTGGGAACAGGCTGCCACGCCGGGCCGCAACAGCTGCCATAGCCGCCGAGCCGGAGCCGCGGCGCTGCATCTGGAGCGCAGCTGCTGTTGCTGTGGGCGTGTACATGCTGCCGCGTCGAGCGGAGAGCGCTGGATTCTGGGTATAGATGGACTCGCGACGCCGCTTGCCGGCCGCCACGCCAGCAGCAGACTTGCGTTGATAGGCGCCCGTCGAGCCGAACGTCGCCTGGTCGGAGTCATCCAGATGGAAGGCTGGATTGCTGATGCCTGCATTGCCATTGCTGGATGCCAAGCTGGTGGTCGAATCGAAGGGTGGTGGCGGGCCGCGGCCGTTGCGCAGATAGGATTGGCTGGCGCTTGCCGTAACCGTATTGTTGTAGAAGTCCAGCGGGGAGCGCGTGGGCAGCGACGTGATGCCCTCTGGTACGGAGACCACGGACAGCTTGCGCTCCAGATCCTGCGAGGGTCGCTTGCGATGGAAGAGCTTGCGCAGCCCGTCCGGCATGGAGAACTTCTTGACGCGACCAGCGCCAGCCACTGCTCCATTCTTCTTGAGCTGCTCATCGCTGTTGTCCGGCTCTTCGAGATGCACCACATGCGGATCGCTGGCGGCGCCATTGAGCTGGCTCTTGTAGCGGCTGTTGAAGGCCTCTTGGATCTGTTGATTGTCGCCGCTCCAGGTCCATTCGTTGTGATTGTGCGGCGCTCGGAGCGGGCGACGTGGTGGCTCAATATTGAAGTCGGAGCAGGCACGACCACGCGGACGACGCGGCGTCGATAATTCGTTGAGTGTCGAGAAGGACCATTCGCTGGCCAAGATCTGCGAGTCGGAGAACCCATGGTAGCCACCATACAAGGCCGCATCATCAGCCTCCGGTGGCGGCGGCTGCACCGTGGCCAACGCCGTCACCACCTTGGCCAGCAGGTCTGTTGTCTGTCGATAAGCCTCGGCCGTCTCGAAGGTCTTCTCCCGATCGAACTTGCTTATCTCCGTATCCGAATTGGCATGCACTATAGCAGTGGAATCCTGGGAAGCAGCCACTTCGGCGCACACGGAAAAGGCACGCTTCCGACTCGGTATCGGTGCGGGTTCCACACGGTACATGCTGAGCTCGGGGCAGGAGGCGGACCTCGGCACTGTATATGCAAATTCTGTGTCGGTGTAAACGGGCTGTTTATATTAGACGATGAATATCGTGTGTGGTAATCGATTATCAATGGCAGAGTGCGTGTACGTGTGCGTGTTGTTGTTGTTGTTGTTGTTGTTGTTGTTGTACATGTAAAGAAGAGAGCGCAGCATATGGTATTGGTATTAGTGTAAATTTCAAATGTTGTTTCTGTTGTTGCTGTTGTTATGGCTATCTCTGTCACACTCTTGCTAGCCCTGACAACGGTGTCTGTGAGTCCCGTTAAGCTTATTTACACTTCGCGTCATCAGGTTAGCGCCCCCCCTTACACTCATTTTCTTTTACGTTTTTCTCTTTGTCTATTGCACGCAACTTCTTGGTTTTTTTTTTATTTCATTATCATCATATGAGATGTCTCTCATACCAAAAAAAAAGCGCGAGTGAAAACCCGTTATGTTTTATTTTCTATTCTTTTCTATTTTCGCAAAAAATGTGTGCACTTATTTTGCGTCATCAGATTAGCGCCCCCAAATGCAATTGTAATTATCTTGCTTATTTTGGCAATTACACTCACCAAATTTTTTGTGAAGCTCAAAGCATTCAATATATTTATAGTATGGGTAAAGAAACAGTTTTATCTTTGGTTGAAAATCAAAGATTGAGGCATANCGCAGGGGGCGCTAATCTGATGACCAAATTTTTGTTACATGTTTTTTGTACATTTTGCAAAAAAAAAATTATTTAAAAATAATCCTTATTGTTACAGTAGCCATTCTTTTTGTATTTTAAAGATAAATAAATGKAGTATAATGTAAAAAAATTTCAAAGATGGAGCTCTGATAGTTTAGATTTTATTTAGCTTTGAGGTTGAGTGTAAAGGGGGGCGCTAACCTGATGACGCGCAGTGTATATTACTTACGCCTGCGCGCCTTTGGCGGCTGCTTAATTTTAATCTTCGCGTTCTTTCTACCTCCCGTTCGAGAAAACTACAAAAAGGAGAAAATATCACAATTGTTAACGGACTTATCGGATGGGTGGGTGTTGGGGGTGGTTGCGGTTAATGTTCGCCCGCTTAGTCAAACATTTAGTGAATGCGCAGCCCAATTGTTGATTGTTGTTGTTGTTCTTGTTGTTGTTGTTGTTGTTATTCTTGTTGATAATTGACGCATAGTAAAGACGAAAACTTAACGGAAATATGTGCGTACCATTGATTAAACATACACACACACACGCTCACGCACATACATTATATGCTAGTGCTGCTCGCAGTGCCTGTGTATGTATTAGTAAATTGTATTAGTATTATTTGCTTTGTTGTTCTTGTTTTCGATAGCTTTGCGCACGCAGCTTTCACACTGACGTCGACGCAGACGCAGACGCCAGCGCAGCCGCAGCAGCAGCAAATGCCGAAATGGCGKCCAATAATTTGGGTAAATTGTTTAAGGATTGTTTCGAAAAGTAAAACTCCCGCTTAATAAACATACGTAAAAAAAACCTCAGTTAAGTATTGTGAAATTGATTATTTAAATTCCCATATGCTTATATATAGTTACTATGTTTCATAGGCTTTACCTTGACTTTCAGTATATACAGTTCGTTGAGCAGACGTCGTAAATAGCCCACATCCTTGGTAACACCCGTCCATATACGATTCTGTGTGGCCTTCAGATTAGATGAGAGCTGCTGTTCCAAGTAGGCCAGCTTCTTGCTCTGCAGCCCTCTAAACATATGCATTCGATTATGTTAGGAAAGAAGAATTAGAGTGTATATATAGATATAATATATGTGTGTATATTAGCTTTGATGGTAGGTTAGAGCGATGCTTTGGACAGTCCCAGCATGCAAAACATATCATGCAGTACTTCATTTAGACAATGCATTCTCCCACTTACCGCGTTATAAACGTCATTATCATGACCAGGTAGCCCAAGGAGAATATAAACCAGACGATCACAAAGATCTGATAGACCACGAACCAGCCGCCAAACTCGCGTGGCTAAAGGATCGAAAACCCGTTCGTTACAACCAAACTGTGCAAGGACCGAGCTGCAGTTGATCGAAACTCACCTGGTTGGCTCCAAACGTGGGCACGAAATCGCCAAAGCCAATTGTCGACATCGTCACATAACTGTAGTACAGTGAAATCGAATAGGGCCAACTCTCGAAGTAGGTAAACACCCACGATGGTAGTAATAGGAACAGGGCTATACCTGGTATTAGGGCTATGAACACCGTGGTTATCAATCCCAGCTGCGGTGGCACATAATGATCATTCGAGGACATTTTGTACTTCTTATATCGTCTGTAGATGGCCTCAAACTGAGGAGTGAGACACATTTAGATATTAGATATTAGATAAATGTTTTGATAGTAAAGATTGATATATGGATACGGATATTGATTATTTAGGTAGGCCTATCTAAATCTATCTATATATCTAAGTATCTATGTATCTATATATCTATATATCTATGTATCTATGTGTCTATGTATCTATGAATCTATGTATCTATGCATTTATGTATCTATGTATGTATCTATGTACCTCTGATTGTTTTAATCTATGTATCTATGGGCACTCTCTATCCACCTACCGTACGTCCGAAGTATTCGCCCAATCCGGCAAAGAGTATTCCATTCACCGGTATCCCGATTACCGAATAGACGATCATGATCATGCGACCCGCAAAAGTTGTCGGAGATATATTGCCATAACCCACCGTTGAGCAGACGGTAAAAGCAAAGAAGAAGGCGTGATAGAATGTCCACGTATATGGTATTTCGTATTCGTCTTTTGTGTAATCCGTAACCGACTTGCCACAATAATCCGAAATGCGAGTCAAAATCTCGTCTTGTGTGGTCACATTCTTATCTTCTAACTGCTCCATGAGATACTCTGTAAAGTATGGAGAACAAAAAAGCATCGAGGTTAGTTAAGTCCAAGTTCTAGTGATGTAAGTTAAAAATAAATGCCTGACTAGAAAATACCCCAAAATTATAGCAACACTCGATGCCCATTTCCGAAAGTCAACCATTAAAATCGGTGTCTAGATAAGTAAAAATTTCTATTGGAACTGCACTGCAAAAAGCAATGAAGCATAAAGTCGAATCAAATCAAATTTAATTAATTCTATTACACGTGTTCCGGAAGCAAATGGGAAGCGGGCGTCCGACTGATCGTGTTACAAACGCCATTTAACCTTCCGCTTTTCCATAGAGATGAAAGAGGAAGCAAAACAATTGCGACTACAGCTATTTGGCTTAGGGTTAAATCGCAACTGTCAACGTGACAACAGATTGACCTGACCCTGACTCAAGTCGCTGATCGCTGATCACTATTCACTGATCACTGATCGCCGATTGTCAATTGTCGGGTTTGGGTTTTTTGCCCTCTCGCTGCGATTCCGGGTAAGTTTACGGCCGTTTAAAACTGTTTAAAATGCGCTCCACGCGGTGGCAAGCTTCATGGATCGTAACGATCATTAGGGGCGTACGCTGCTTTGATATTATGCAAAGATATGATTTTTTTATAGGTTGTTTAGAGCTAACTTGAAATATTGCATATTCGGCTAATAGTGAAATATACATATATAGATCTATACATTTATAGATGCATAAAATGATCTCTAGTCTGGACTAAGCAGATGAAGTGACTTTCTTTGACTTTCGACTAGATCATATAGATATACATATTGACAATCAACTGGATGTGGTATGAGGCTGTGAAGTGGAGCTTATCTTTATCATCAACTAGTTATGTTGCGAGCTATGTTGAAAGATCCCTTTCCTTGTTTAGAGTTATATTTGTCATGTATTTATTCACATATATAGCTCTATCTTTTGTATGTGTTATATCTGATCTTGAGTGCAATTCGTCTGAAATTAACTGAGTGCAATCATTCAATAAACCCTAAGCCACACAGGCAAATGCAGCAAATGACAACAATTTTCTAGCCGTAATCTTTTAACGAATTGCATAATTCAATAAATGCGACAGACAGATATTTAACAAAAGCCTTCCCAGTGGGAGGTTCGTTGTTGTTGGTTCGCAATTGTGGGCAATTCACTTTTCAACGATCCCAGTGCAGTCCCATCCATCCATGTAGATAGTAATAGTAATCTCTATCTCTATCTCCATCCCATTTTCTCTCCCTCTCTCTGTCTGTTTCTATTTTTCATGAGACATGAGCTGTGATATCGTGTTGCCTTTTGTTGTCATCCGGGTCTTTTTTTTTTTTTTTTTTGATTGTGATTGAGGGCAATTTGTTCATAGACGTCGATCATTAGCACAAATTCTTGTAAATCTTTGAAGCCCAACTAACGGCACAAACTAGCGAACATTAATTGAGATTAAGTTTTTGGATGGCGTTTATCTTGTTGATGTTTTTCTTGTTTTGTCTCTTGATGATTTGAGGAGCAACAAAAATGTTTATGGCTAGTAAATTTATCAATTAAACTGTTGATCGGGAGGTCGAAGAGACAGAGCGAGCGAGGGAGAGAGATAGGGAGAGAGAGAGAGAGAGAGAGAGACGGGATAACATCTTGGAAATAATCGGGAAAAGCTTCAACCTAATCTGAGGAAAGATCACTTGAAGGACTCTGAATTACGGAAAGCTTTAATATGTTCACTTCAAGCTCTATCCCATACTTGTATCGCTCGAAAGATACTAGACCGGTATGAAATAAGGATAGAACTTAGATCAAGTTCCTATAGATGTTTCAATCGCGAAAGATCAAAGGCAGTAAAGATCGCTGATCTTTCAGTCATACATAACTATATATATTGAGCTAGGGAAAGATTCATTGAATGACAACAAGATCACCGAGGTCAAACCTGTTTCATTCGCTTATCAGTGACGGGGCTATCTAAGGTGATTAACTGTAAATGCCAACATCACATGTTTGAGCACACACATCCAAATGATATGTGATCCAGGGTCTTAGAGCAAGCTACATAGGGCGCTACGAATACGCAATTGAAGTACTTTTGGAAGCCCAATAGCTTAATATTGAAATCGATATCAAGTGGGAACATAGTCTAGGACTACATGTATATGTGATAAGGGTAGGCCATTCTAAGTCTCAGGTCAAAAGGGGGATCAGTGTATAAACCTATAGCTTCCAAGCTCATTGATCGTGAAAACTGTTAACTGATTTAACCCGGACACCTGTATATATGTATATGTATATGTATTAATTTATATATGAATATACTGGAATGACTCTTGCATTGCGCTATAGAGATCTTGTGTCCGCTTCACTTTCAATAAAAAGTCGATCTTGAAGAAACACCGCTCGACTAGCAGCTACCCTGCGTTCGGCCGAGTACGGCAAAAGGGGGACAGATGAATGAACAGAAAGACAGATGAGCGGACAGCCAGAGAGACAGAAACACAGATGAATGGAATTATAGATAATATTATTATGTAGATAGGTTAACGAAAGGACAGCAATCGGTATTTATAAACAAGTGGATAATTAACAGACTCAGGGATGAGCAGTGGAAAGGGCAGATGAAAGAACAGATTTCACTAGATCAGCTCGACTATGAATATTGATTAATCGTAGATATATGTATATATAAGTATAACTATATTTACATACGAGCATATGCTATCATATAAGAATCCGAGCTGAAGCTATGATACGAGTGTAATATAAACTTGAGCAATATCTCTTTACAGACAATACACTCCGAATTAACTTTATACGTATTTATTTATATGCACATATGTATATAGAGTTATATATCGTCGCACGTCGTGGCTGGACGATGTCTAATTGGCGTTTATAGTTTATTTATCTGAACAATTAGCACATTTTTATGTGCTATTTAAATTCGATTTTATTGCAATTATAGTGGAATAACCCTCAAAGTAAATACGATCGCGATCTGTGTGTCTGATATCCGCACACACACACACACACACACACACACACCTGCACACAGACAGAGATATGTAAATCACATTCGTATCAGTGCAATTAATCACGAATCCGATTCGCACACTTGCTAACTTATAAAGCTCATATTTCGCTCAACATTTACGCACGTTTGGCAAAACGAAAATACAGTCGAGTTAAGTCATTTCTTTTGCTTTTCACTTTTCAGCCCTGACACACCGAATTGGCTGTGCTCTACACCTACATATATAACGTTTATGCCATGCAGTTCATGACCAGGTAATTAGCACATTAAGTTGGCTGCACTTAAGCTGCGTGGGGATGAGAATCAGACGACTTTTATTATTTAATCCCGTGTGTGTCGAAGTGGAATGAAAAATCAGTTTATATTTCGCTAATTTCGTGCACTGATTTCGTTTGCTAAATATAGATTGAGCTAAGTTTATGCCTTGCAGCTCATGTAGTTCCTATTAAACCATGAAGTTAACGGTCATTAAACTATTTCGGTTGGCTATAACTGATAAAACTGTCTAAATATAAATTTCACTAAGTTTATGCCATGAAACTCCTAAAATTGGATTAGCTTCAGTAAAGCAATGCTTATCTGCAAGCTTACTGAGATTATTTCAAATTATGATTGATTGGGTATAGTTTATGGAATGAAACATGTTCATGTACGACTTTCCAGTGTCAAATGTGACTTTCTAGTGCCTTTCTTTTCACATAATGTGCCTTCAGTATATACGTTTATCATGATCTGCATTATGATTTGGCTATAGAATGGCTAAATTGAGTCGGGTTAATCTGATATTAGGCGATACTTCCTTCTTTTATGATATTCCTCAACCTAATGCCTCGAAATAATTGATCAAACTGTCTAAATATCGATTGACCTACATTCGTGTCTCTACTGCTGATTTGCCAAGTTAAGAGCGCTCAGTCAGCCGCGCCAAACTGTTTGCCAAAGTCAAGTTACCCACATGCGATAGATGTGACGGCCCTATCTTGAATAGAGTTTTTTTTTTTCGGTGCGGTTTACGGGAACTACGCAAGTAGCAGCTAGAATTGTTTGTTTTCTTTTTGGCCAAGAATTCGTGGCAGACAGTTCGAGTTGTTAGATATCACATGGACACGAAAAATGCGATCATAAAATTATTTATGCTTGTGATATTTGAGACGAAACAGCTCGGCTGCTGCGGCCGATGATAGCGACAGCTACTGTCTATCTAGCCATCCAACTCGCTATATATCTATATAGTTGTATATGGGTTGAGGTGTACGTACCGTAGATTTCAATGCGCTCCTTCAGCTGCTCGGCACGTGCTTCCTTCTCCTCGCCATGCTCGATGTGATAGTAGATGGCAGCGCCAAACAGCAGATACGATATGTAGAAGATGAGCAAAAGTATCCAGCGATTTGGCGACATGCTCGTCCTGGCGCTGACTTGGCCCAAAAGGAAAAGGCTGCAACCAGACATAATAGCCACAAGAAAAATTAAACAACCATTCGGCAGAGGGCTAATTGAAAATTGCACTCAAAAGTTTTCTATACATGTTATATAGTTATACATATAGAAGTATTGTTTATGGTTTGTATCAGCATTAATCGTCGCTTGATTGCGATTAACTGTCTCTGTATATTGATATATATACACCAACTTATGAAACTCTTTTGGGGCAGTGCCACCTGCGCTACCTGCAATGCAGCGAGTCTTATGGGTTCAACGCTCAGTCTTCATATAGCTGAGCTCTCTCAACTGCCAGTGCTCCCTCCGTAAGGCCGGCGAAACGAGCAAAGTTTATATCCATGGTCCATAAACCCGACGGTAGGGTATTATCAACGTGTGAAACGTGGGCAGAGTTAGCGAGCTACATGTGTGTAGACATGAATATTTATGATCCGTGGTGGAACTGATTTCTGGCTCTATGAAATTAACTGGTATATCGATCCCTCAGACTCCACATCAATTGCCATTCATAAACTATATAGCAAATACTTCAAATTATATATCGAACCGATCTCTACAGTCATCTACCCATCCATAAGCCCGATCGTGTAGGGTATTTCAGCTTCGACATCTGCGACACTCGAGGCATTCTTTAGCTACTACGATCACCCTGAGGCCCCCTCACAGATTTCCTACCGGGCACTACGTCAGTGTGGACAATGCTAGGCGACGTCATTTAGTCGGGTTAACATATTGACACATCTAATCATATCGCCAAGACGCAAAGTGCCCGAGTATTGCCGCTAATTTCTACCTACTTTTCTACCCATTAAAAAGGCCTAAAACGGGGCATATGTGTGATCATGTGATGAATGTAGCACTCAGAAGAGGGCGTGACTTGTGCCGTTCGGGTACCTCTCTGTATCTCTCTCACTACTTAAGACTTAAAATTTTACATATAGACTCCGCTAAGTGTAGTAGCTTAAACAGATCAAAGTCTTATCGAATCATAGATAACATGCCCCCATGGAATCGGTAATGATCGATATCAGTTGAACACATTTCAGAAGCCCTAAGAGCTTTAGGTATGCAAATATAGGTTCTTCTCATTATTAATACTAATACTATAGCGAGGGTATTTCCCAGTCGATCAGTTGCTAGGCGAGCCCATTGGCAATGGGCATGTCTTGTTATCTGTCTGGATTAGGTTTGGTGACAAACTGCCTACCTGCTTGGAAATTTACCACCTTCAATTAGCAGCTCGATACAAAATATCTATAAAATATATATATACATATATTGAGAAAACTTGAATAGGTTGACAACTCTGAAACTGTTAAGATGTTAACGCTTCGCACCTGCCACGATTTTAGCTGTTTTGTGAAATAATGTGACGATAATAAGACAAGCAAATCAATATTAATACAATGTTCTGCTCGACTTCTTGAAAAATCGTAAAGATAATTGCACCTAACTACTCGAACATGTTGAGGTAGTTCCATATTCATACTCATAGTATAAGTAATGCCAATATCAGACTTTTTATGGTGTTTATTACTTGCGAGAGAGAGAAAGAGAGAAACTTAGAGGCTACCTGTTGAACTTACAGGGGCATTACCTACATAATAGATCTCAAGTTATCTTCTATTTTGCGTATACCCTGTATTGCTGATTTAGTATTCACAATAATGTGATAGGAAGTTTCTCAGAAAAAAGTACAGTCAACATTTTGATACATTTTTACAAGGTGATAAAACGGAATTTCACAATTTCTCGATTTATTAAAATACATGCATATATACATCGTTATCGATATGCATTAATATAGGCATATGAATTGTAATGATAGCCTTCTTATAGAGAATAGATCTGCGCGAATGTGCACTTAAAAAACGTTACATTTATATTCCAAATGCTTCTTGGGTGATCTTTAGATCAACCTTAATAGTCCTGTGCTATCCGTCGTTCTGTCTTTCTACATCTTTTTCTTTTATTCTTTCACTATCTATATCATAAATATCATCCCTATCAATTATCTACATATCACTGTCCTATTTTTTTCAAGCTATCTCTCACTCCTCTCTCTGTGTCCTTTTATCTATCTTCCTCAATCTTCCTTTCTCCATCTCCTTTTTCTCTCTCTCTCTCTCTCTCTCTTTTATAGTTCATAGAAATAAGTATCTATCGATAAATATCGAACTTAAGAACTTGCAAAACTCCAATACATCTGTTAATTATCTTTGATAACTTCTAGGAACAGTTTCTTCAGTTTGTTATTATTTGCTCTTTTATGAGTTTTGTAGATCAATTGACTTCTTAGTTGAGCTCAAAGCTCTGTTATCTCCAAATCGTTTTACAGTTATTTACAACCACTTTAATTATTACATTCGTTATTACCAAACTCGTTCAGAAGGCATCAACGATCTATTATGTGTATTCACATACATATTGTATATGTCTATATATATCTATATATATTCGAATTGTTGTTCAAGTGAAGAGCTGATAATGTTTCAGTGCATACTATTGTATCATTTATTCAATTGAAAATACCAATAGATATATATGTATATACATATGTATGTATGTATGTATATAAAACAGGGAACAAGTATTAAGAGTGTTTTCTAAAAGTTATCTTTGAAAAGGCAATAAGAATCGCCTGTGGCCCACAAACTGGGCTAAGCATTTTGTTAACAATAATCAAAATAAAAACACAAAGTACACAAAGGCAAGTATTTTGAGTGATTGACTGACAGTTACCCTGGAACTCGCGTATATGAATGGGTATACCAAAATTTAACTACAAATCAAATCATTATCAGTTATCGATCTAATCGATATATATTTACTAGATTGTACCAAGACCGTGATAGCCACACCTTCTTCTGTTCCGAATGAAGTGAGTCTACCGGTTCAATTTTTACAGGGTATACGCTCTGTTGCCTCGCCACTGGGCGCGTTCGCCAATGTGATGACGCGCCATTCAATGAAAGTCTTTGGATTTTTATTGTATTTGATTTGATTTCAGTTCATTATAAATATAAAAAAAAAAGAGGAAAAGCAAACAATTTTTGTTGCCCTGAGTTGGGCTTGTCGCAAAATGTTTTTGTAGCACGGAAAATTCTGCACAAACAAAAAGCGAAACAAACAGAAAAAAATTAAATTTTTTTATGGAGAGAAGAAGAGTTAGCGGCAGTCTATGATGATGCAAATGAATTTAATTTTACACTTGATATTGCTAAGTGCGAAAAACAACAGAGCGTTTAATATTGCCGCAATAAAGCTTACTAATTGATCATCAATGTGACCCACACACAATCCCCCACAATCCACAAAGCAATCGATCGTAACCCAAAAAAAAAAAAAAAAAAAAAAAAA